AAACGAATATGGACCATTCATCGCATTTGATCTCGATCATTCGATCACGCATAAGGAAAAAACGAATTTGAACTTTTCATCGCGTTTGATCTCGACCGTTCGATCGCGCCTAAGGGGGAAGCGGATCCGGACCATCCATGTGCGCGGGATCGATCCTGGGCCATCCGATCGTGGGGCACGCAGATCGTCAGCATGGCCTCCCGCGGGGCGCTAATGTCAACGCGTCTGGCCACGCGGCGTGCTTTGGTTCATCGAGGTTGCTGAGTGGGCAGTCCCACGTGGCCAAAAATTTCTCTAATTGCACTTTGATTCTTTGTTTTTAATTTTTCTTTCAAAAACACCATTTAAACTCAAATTTTCATCAATTCTTCCCAAAATTATTTTTAATTTTGTCATCAATTCGTTTTTTTTCTAAAAAATTCAATTAAATTAAAATAAAATAAAAATTTTAATTATTATATATATTCATAATCCGTAAAAATTATCCCGGATCAATTTTTGGGTATGGGTATTATATGTGTAAACTTCATTTTCTTCAAATGTCGAAGGTGCTTTGGGAAGTATTCTGTATTGAAGGCCATTAAGAATTATTCCCAATTGACTGAAACGGATAAGGTGGCCTGTTTGAGCTGCCATCAGCGACCTGCCTCTCCCACAAACATGTAGATGATAAGTACAAGCTTCTGTTTAGGAACGACCCCAAGAGTCGCGAAGGTCTTCTCTGTCTTAACTAACTAATACTCGGCCTCTTTGAAAGAGGATGCCCTTATAAAGGTAGATAGGTTTAGTCATTTGTACCTTTTAATATAGTCTGGGTCTATCATAAGTGGAACTGAGTCCGTAGAAGAGGGACTGGATTGTGCTGTGGAGGGACTGAGTGGCTTTGTGGCGGTGCCAAATGATATGGTGGGAGTATCATATTGTACTGTGGTGGTGCCGGGTGATACGGTAGAGGAGCAGGATTGTACCGGGGTGGCTCTGGATCTTCCAACTGTAAGCGTGGCTCAAATTATGGCAGCAGGGGAGGGTGAAACAGCTCCCATCCTATTCTCTCAGACCTGCTGGGCAGAGATGAGTCTCTCCAGCATCTCAAATAGTTTATCAACATTCTCTTGTAGCGAACCATCCCGGATTGTTCAATTTAGTGGGAGTCTTCCTCTACTCATATCCTTTTACCTGCATTTCACAGTGAATGGTTGAGCGATAGTTTGAATTTTGTATTTTTAAGTTTTCGTATAAAAAATGGTTCTGAAAAACGAGACTCTGATACCAACTGTAAAATTTATTATCTACGAGGAATTTCCAACTGTAATTTCCTTTAAAGTTCTGAATCTTTATATTTGTTGATCAATTAATTTTTCGTACAATAAAATTCTATTTCACAAGTGAACAAATTAGTAAATAACACATTCATAGCCCATTACAATGTTTAACTCGGAAGAAATAAAATTTAATAAACGTTTATTGGTTGTATTACAAAATACCTTGTAGAAGATTAGCATATTCTATAGTTCTTTATTGGGTGTATGCCGCGGAAATTAATAATGGAAGATGGTTGTGCGAGAAGTACTCTCCATGTAAGTTGCTTTTGTGAATAATTATGGTAGCTAGAGAAGATACAAAACTGTAACACATAATGACAAAGAGCAATATATGACATATACAATATATTTGGTGTTGGTATTTTATGTTATTTAATTATGGTAAATTTTATAAATATCAAATTTGAAGTTGTGGGTAAATACATCTTTTATTATTATAATAATTATTTATTAACGGTATATTATTATTATTATTATTTTGATTGGTATAAAAAAAATATTGTACTTATAAATTTTTGCTCGCTGAGAGTAACATGTTATTAGCATAATTTATTATTTTTTATAAATATTACATTGTGTTGAATTTTGATTAAATTTTAACTCGTTCGTTATAAATTAAAAATATAATAAAAATGAGATATAAACTTTAATATAATTAAAATTATAGGTACTTGTAATTCATCAATTGATAAAGTAAAATACAAATTTATAATATTGTTAATTAAAGTATGCATAAAATCAATTATTTATACATCAAATATACAAAATTATAAGTAATATTTACGTATTGAATGATCGATATCCAATAATTGAATGATGATATAATAAGTTTAGAGAAAACCAGAAAGCATACGATTACGGTTACTCTTTTGTGAAGTTATCATAGCTATAATGTTGATACATACTGTTACATCATTCAGCTTGCTTTTAACAATTATATTGAATGATTTTAAATAATTATTTGTTAAAACATTTTACCCACTTGCATTCCATGTAATTAGTGAATTGAATCTTAATAATTCAATTAAAGTTAACCAGTAATTAACTTAACCCAATTCAGGTTCTATCTACAAAAGCTTTATAGATTTTTTTTTTTTTTTTAAAAAGTAATTTATTAGATATTAAAATTATTTTATGATTACACTAAGATTTTTACCACAGTAACTAAAAGTAAATTTTTGTGGCAACATTTATCACATGAAATTTTAATTATAAACTTGATTGGTACAATGAACCCAAAAAATCATATCACGTAATTATAAATAACAATACAATTTTCTTATAAAGATTCTATAAATTACTTAAAATATATGTTGGGTTATCTTTTTTTTTTTTTTTGTTGCTTGAATTTTATTGAGGGATTGACTATTGAGAATAGCAGCCTAATTTTAATAAATTGTTGGTCAAAACTCAGGTGGGCTTGAATTCATATTCTTAATTATTTTAATTAATTTAAGTATATAGACATGTAATATATATATATATATATATATTTGTATGTATATATTTTGAATTCTTCTTGATCAAGCGGTCAAGCAAACAAGATCATGTGTCAGCATGGAATAGAGCCGCCTTTGGACGGGCTATGAAGAGTCCAAGATCGCACATTGCAAGCCACTCCCTCTCTAATTTCTAGAATTGCACCATGTGTGAGCCATGCATATTATAATGGGTGGAGCATGTTGTGATACACATATTATTTACGTACATACACACACACATATATATTATATAACAATATTTCGATTTCAGTTACATTTTAAATGAAGATATATAAATATAAATATAAATATATATGTCTAAGTACATTGTATAAATATATTATTAAATATTATATTCATTAGTATGAATATATATTTTGTACTTTTTATCATATGAATTTAATTTTATAAATATTAAAATAAAAAGATTAATCTCCGTATCTTGAACCATTTTTTGTAATTCTATAATTATTTAGATTTTTTTTTATTTCAATTTCGTGAGTTGTATAATAAAACTGTGACATTACCAATATTTTAAATAATAATAATATTTTAATTTGAAATTAATCAAATCTTTATTTAAATAACGTATTTTTTTCATTCAACAATAAATAAAAAATATAAATTAATAACTATATAATTGAAGACTCCTGTGAATTCAATTCAATCACACATTAAATTTGTAATATAATATTAAATCTCTCTCTCTCTCTCTCTCTCTATATATATATATATATATATATATAAACTAGATAATTAAGAAGTCATAAAGGAATTACTAACTATAGTCAAAATATATTTTTTGGTAAATTTCCTATTGTTAATTAATTATTATTTTTTTAAAAAAACATGATACGTAATCTATAAGGTACACGTTTTTCTTTTTTCTTTTTTCTTTTTTTTTTTCAAAATTTGGCTAACTATAATATTGAGATGGAATTATAAAGTACAAACAAAATTAACGTTTTCAAATAAGAAACCATATTGAAGCTTCCACTCCAAATTACCCAAAAACAACAAAATAAGTACCAACATTTATCCACCACGTATTTTATTATATAAATTATGGCAAATATTAAATCATAATTAACTTGTTATTCCATAAATAATAATAATTAATTTATGTAATATTAATAGACAAAAGAAAATTATAAAAAAAAACAAAAAAAATGGGTTCCTTAATCAAGTGTCTAAACGGAATAAGGATTAAGTCTATATAATTATAATTAGGTGAATAATTAAATAATTAAGAAAGGGTTTTTGATTTTGCGTTGTACTCTTTCTAGAAAAGTAAGACATGACAATACCTTTTTTTTTTTATAAAATTTTTAATTTGTAATGGAAGGACTTATCTTGTAAGATATTTTTAATATTAATATTGTTTTTCAAATATTGATACTAATTTTTTTTTTCTTTCCATTATAATAATTTGTACATAAATTTATATTATAAGATTTTACTTATCCAATTCGGGCCCATTAAATTTTATATTATAAGATTTTAGGCATGCGAAGTGGTGTGTTGTGTATTACCATCAATTGCCATTTAGGAGTAAACCTTTTTTTTTTTTTGAAGTCTAAATATCTCATGTTTCTTTACATTTTTTTAGTGTATATATGCTTTGATCATCAGATTCAATACATCATCTTTTGGATATTGATCACCCATCTTATTATTATTATTAATTCTATGATGACATCATAAGAAATTAGATATTTATTTATTTTATTTATCATAAATTAAATTATTTATATAATCGATCACTAATTTTATTTAAGAACTAAAAAAAAAAAAAATTTATTTTGAGAATTACATGTGATTAAAAAAATAAGATGTGTGATCCTGACAAGTGTGATAATCGTGTGTACAGGTATAAATATATATG